CCGACACTCATGTCCAGACTTTAGGCTAGAGAGATACTTAGGAAAGTCGTCTCCGTGAACACCTCTTATCTTGCCATCAACTCTTTCAGAATCTGTTTTTATAAAGAGCCAGAACTTCTGAAACAGTGTTTCTGAACATTGAGTTAAAGGAACGATGACAGAGTGGAGACAGCAGGGAGTCCGGAGGCCGTGTGGCATGGCCCTTTCATTTCCGCAACAGGAATACTGGTGCACAGAGAGCTGGAGGGATCTGTGGAGACACTACGGTTAGCAGGACAACTGCAGTCACAGCCAGGTCGCCAGAGTCCCAGATACTGTTTTACACTAGAGTCCCTGGGTGGTGCCAAGGGTTAAAGCCCTTGACTGCTATCCAGAAGGTTGGCAGTTCCATCCAGAGGCACTTCAGGAGAAAGTTCGGGCAACCTACTTCCAAAAAAAAGTAGCCGTCAGAAACCCTCTGGAGCACAGTTCTACCCTGACCCACATGGGTGCCGTGAGTCAGAATCATCTTGATGACACCTGGTACTTTGCAGGCTTCAGGCAGTGGGCTCCTGGTCATCACGAGCTTGGCCTTGCTGCAAGTGGAGGCTGTGAGAGGGAATGGGAAAAGGCCCACCCAGCTGCTGGGCTAGGAAGCAGGAATGCTCCCAAGGAAGGAGATGACAAAAGGGTGACAGGAGCCCTTTCTCCCTGGGAAGTTCCCCATCTTCCGGTGCAGCAGGGAGGCCCTTTGAAATGTAGAAGTTAAATTGCTTCTTGGTGTCTAGAAGCACTACTGCTGTGCACGTAGCTGGTCAGCGGCTAGCAATTTTCTCTTTATTGTCATCGTCTTTAGAGTGATTCATTAGAGGCCACCCAGATGGAATGAACTTGAATATTTCTTATGGCAGTTTAATATTTGATATAAACATAGTAAGTTAATTCAACCTTGAGCTAACTCTAGGAAAAAGAGTAACTAACTACACAGATAAAATATTTAAATGATAACACAACTTCTTCTACCAGTGTTGTTAGATGTCTCCAAAATGATTCCTAAACCGTGACTCTGTTTCCAACTTACTATCTTGCCTTAAACAAAAAGGGTGTAAGAAGTTTGAAATATTCCTATTTTGAGCCTCGATACATCCTGGTGGTGCCCATGAACAAGACAAAATACGAGGGGTATTTGCGGAGAAAGGGACTGTTCAGTCGTGCAGAGATCGAATGTGCCGTCTCCAGAGTGGACCTTTATATAAAAATCAACCAGAAATATCCAGGATATTTTGATGCAGTGATCAACACAGGTCAGTAACTTGCAGCAGAGCCTTGTTTTCAAACTGTGGAGGCCACTGGGCTGAAAGCTTAATGGAAAGAAAAGTCTTGGGGCAAAGATACTTTGCTTGTGGCATTGAATCCCAGGCGCTGAAAAGACACAAGAATCCAAGCCCTTGGGCTCTTACCAAGCGGGTTCCTCTGACCTTCCTCTGTTTGGAGCAGGTCTGATGTCTGTCATCCCTTAGGATCCTAACTAGTGAAGTTTGGTCCCCTCCGTGGGTAGGATCCGCTCCGCCCGTGGGCCTCTGACAACTGAGTTGCTCATTTGTAAAATGAGCCTGGATTAGATTCCTTCCTTAAGGAACATTGGTGGTGGGGGTGGGGGGTATCAAGTCATTTTTGACTCATAATGACTCTATTTGACAGAGTAGAACTGTCCCCGTAGGGTTTTCTAGGCTGTAATATTTATGGAAGGAGCCCTGGTGGCACTGTGGTTAAGTTCTCAGCTGCTAACCAGAGAGTTGGTGGTTCAAATCCACCAGGCACTCTGTGGGATTAAACTGTGGCAGTCTGCTTCTGTAAAGATTTACAGCCTTGGAAACCTTGTGGGGCAGTTCTGCTCTGTCCCATAGGGTCACAATGAGTCGGGGTCAACACATTGCCACACCTTTCCCCTTGGAGCTGCCGGGAAGGTTCAAATGGCCCATCCTTTGGTTAGCAGTCAAGTGCTTAATCGTCCTGCCACCAGGCCTCCTTAAGGGACATTGTGCGAACAAAATGAGATAACAGGTAACTTGATTTGATTATATTTAAATCATTATAATTTAATTTTATTATATAAAAATTATAATACACAATTTAAATACATATTTAAACTTTTAGGAAGGTGTATGATATATTGGCAGTGTTTTGTTTTGTGGTACCTAGGGTCGTTATGAGTCAGAGTGACTAAATGGCACCTGAGAACAACAACATACGAATCTCGGGCCATTTTATCATAATCTACAGGGAGGTAAAAATCTAGCTATTAAAAATACGGTAACCATGATGATGTGTAAAACAAGCATGGTCAAGCACTAGATTAGAAATGGCCGCTTATTTAAAGTGATAGAGAATTTACTGAAAGACAGAAATGTCTATATAGTTTAGAATCTCATCACATGGGACAGTTATAATAAGGAATGAAAACTCTCCCTGCATCAATAAGGAAAAAGCCACAAACCTTACTATTTCTGTAACAAGCCAGGCCCACAGCTGTAGGTCTAGTATACGTCATCATTGATGTAAAAAAGAATTATCTCATCCTATTTCCTTATATTGCATGAAAATTCTCTGCCCGAATCCTCAAGAAACTGGTAACACTGGGGACTGGGTGGGTGAGGACATTAGGTAGAACCATATGAAATTGCCAATGGTCAGCTCCATTGACCTACAAAACCAGCAATTTCATATGTTCTCTCTGTATCTCCTGATCTCTGAAATGTATCGAAGTGTGACATGCTTGTATTATTTCTGGCTGCTACACAGCAAAATGATCACACTTAGAGCTTAAGTTAATACGTGTTTATCTGCTTGCAGTTCTGTAGGTCAGAAACCTGGTTTTCTTCTCAGGGTTTCCTGAGGTTAATCAAGGTGTCCACTGGGCTAAGTTCTCGTCTAGGAAGAACCCCAACCTCACTCATGTTACTGGCAGAACTTGGTTCCTTGCAGTTGCAAGATGCAAGTCCCTCTTACTTTGTTGGCTGTCTGTAGGTGTTTCTCTCAGCTCCTCAAGCCATGACCTCTGCATCTCTAAGCCAGTGAATCCTCCTCATGCTTCCAATTTCCCACTTCCTTTTCAGCCACCTGTCCAGAGGCAGCTCACAAGATTAGGTTAGGCCTGTCCAGAAAATCTCCCTTTTGACTAACCCAAGGTCAACTGATTAGCAACCTTAATTACATCTAAAAAAGGCCCTTTGGCTCTATGATGTAACACATTCACAGTTTCCTCCCACATCACTGGGAAGAGGTTATACAGAGAGACCCTGGAGATGGTCATTTTAGAATTCTGCCTGTCGCAATATTCATACCGTTAATGTAATGTGTTAATGTTGTTACAAAATCATTGCCACCAACTGCTGAACACTGGCTGTGTTTCTGTCTGCTCCTGCTACTTTGAAGTGTGTGCTCTCATTCCTGCAGATGATCTGGAAGTCGCCTACCAGAGGCTGAGTCAGCTTATTAGAGGATACCTGGGACTGACCGAGGAACCTGCCAAAGGCTTGGCACCAACTACAGGTTAGTACCTAACTAAGGAGCTCCTCTAGCACTGTGCCTTTTGTGCCAGATCTTTTTTTTCCCCACAGAAGGGAACGCAGATCTATTGTTACTCGGGTGCTCACCCAGACTAAAGCTTTCTCATGCTTTAATCCCTGTACTTCTGGGGCTACTGTCCCCACACCTCAGCTGTATCAGTCAGCCATCTGGACCTCAAAAACTCCTCTTCTCTGTCACCATAAGGAACTCAGGGGACTGCCCTTCGTGGGCAGGCTGCGCAGTGCCTTGGAGTAGGGTTAACCCCTCGAGTCAGGACTGAGCCTGCCAGAAGTGTGGCTTCTTTAGGGAGCTGAAGCGATGTTCTGCTTTGCCGATTAGCATTTAATGGTTTTTCAATCCACGACTTTTCCCCTCCCATTTTTTGTTCTCATATTGCCCTAGTCCTCAAAATGCCAAACCCAGAGTACAGTGGGAACAGCACTATGACCTGGTTCTGTCACCCATGGCCAAGCTGCTTAGCAGTTCTGAGCTCTAGTTTATCATCCTGGGAAACAGGGTTGATGACCTACTTGGCTGCTCAAGGGTCATGAGCATAAAACGATGTAGGATACACGACAGTGCGTCTCTTGGGAGTCCAGGGTCTCTAAAGCCCTACTTAGGGTTTGGATATGTATTTCAAGATGCATGTAAAATGCCCCCATGCATGGGATTCCGTTCACGTGTCATGTACCATACAGGTTAACAACAGATTCTTGCTGCTGTGCAGGTGGGTGGTTTTGTGCACAGAGGTGTTTTTCACCTTTGGGACTTCTTTGCCCAGATATGGTTTTGCTTGGCTACTTGCATCCTGCCCACAGCAGCCAGCTCATGGTTTAGCGAGAGCTCAAGCTTACTGCCTTGCTTTACAGTTGCACGCACTCCTCCTGGGTCACGTGCCCCTGAAGTGTGGGAATGAGGTCAGTGGGAGATGGTAGAAGTCAGCACATCATGGCTGAGATTTTGCAGCCATGTGTGCCATGAAGGAGCTGGATAGAGGAGGGCACCTGTTCCGCCTGGAAAGGGCCTGAAGACAGTGGGACAGGCCTGAAATTGCGCCTAATCAAGGAGTGGTGGGTGCAGCTAGTCTTAAAGGAGGAAACGAAATGCAAACATGCCAGTGTGTTGACCCAGCATGGCTCTGGTCCTCCAGAATGGGCATCAGCTGGTCCTTAAGGAAGCCAGGGTCATGGGGTGGTGCCGTGGATCTAATGAGGCTTCTGGGCCCCAGAGAAGCTTCTCCTGAGGAAATCTGGCTCCCTTTACTTTAATTCTTTGCTCACCATGCAACCTTCTGACCTTTAATTTGGTCCCCCGGGTGGACCTGCCTCTTGGGGCCATACCCTACATTAGAACGCCCTGTTTCAGTCTCTAGGCAAGGCCCAGCTCCCAGTGTAAATTAATAAGCTGGTGTTCTGGCTTTTAAATCAGCCCCTTGTGGGTTTGGCTAACCAGGAGTCAGTCCCCTGGGCCTGACTAGTTCTGAGTCCCGATAACACAGGGCTCTGATTCGGCAGCATCCAGGGCTCACCGTCAGCCCCTAAGAAGGCCCCTGAACTTGACCACAAGCCCTGCAGCTTCTCCATTTTTTCTCTGCTCTGTGCTGGGCCACTCTGTTTTTTTAAAAAATAAATTACTGTGGCAAAATATATTCAGCATAAAACTGACCGTTGTGCAACTAGCACCACTATCTACTTCCAAAACCCTTTCATCGCCCCAAATAGGAACTGTCCCCATTAAGCGATAACCGATGTCCCGTCCCCCAGCCCCTGCCGACGTCTAATCTACTTTCTGCCTCTGTGGATTTGCCTGTTTTGAATATTTCAGTCGGACCCTACTGAAATGTTTGTCTTTTCTGCCTGACGTATTTCACTCAGCACAGTGTTCTCCAGGTCCCCCCATACTGCAGCATGTGTCAGAACTTCATTTCTCTCTGTGGCTGACTACTGTTGCATTGTGTGGATGGGCCACATTGTGTGTGTCCATTCATCTGCTGACGGACACCAGGGCCGTTTCCACCCCTTGTCTATTGTCAGTAGAGCTGCAGTGACCATCTGTGTACATGTGTCTGTTTGAGTCTCTGCTTTCAGGTCTTTGGGGTATATTCCCAGGAATGGAATTGCTGGGACATAGAGTAACTCTGTTTAACTTTTTGTGAGCCATTCTGATTTTAAGTTCTGTAATTTGGTATGCTTACATAAATACTTATATAAATAGGAGCTCTAGAAATAAAAAAAAACAATAACTTTAGTGGATTTTTTCTTTAAAAAGTTTAACTGTCAAAGGTAAGAAATTAAAATTTAAAAAATTTAAGAAATATGTCATATTCTTACGGAGGACAGTTTTATGCCTGAGCAATTAGAAAACTGGACTGAAATGTGAAGCATTACCTGTCTGCTGTAATCATGAATTTGGCTAGAAAAGCCACTTGGAACTTCCATTTCTATAAAAGACAACGCTGTATAGTGTTATGGGACATGACTGGAACCTGGCTTTCTAGGCCACCACTGGTCTGTCAGTTTGTCATACTCTGGTGGCTTGCGTGTTGCTGTGAGTGAGGCTGAAGGCTCTGCCACCAGTATTTCAAATACCTGCAGGCCTTCTAGGGGCGGGGTTGGATTAGATGATTTGTGTGTTAGGCTTCCGGACAAACAGAGATCTTATGGCTAACAATATGAACTTCATGAAAATAGGATCCTGTATCAAGAGAAACTGAAAATTATTGGCAGATATTTGAAGGACCAGTGTATAACTGTAGTTTCAGTAGTTTGGTGTTACTAATGTATAGCTGAGAATGTAGTTTTTATTTCTACTCTTAACAGTGAGAGTGGAACAAAAGTAGAAAAGTGGACGCAAAGGCTAATGACTCTGAGAACAGCGGGTCCACCAGCCTGGACCCAGAAGTGTTAAGCCCTCACCAGTGGAGAGATTGATTGAATTTTCACTGAATGCATGTGGAGTACTTTAGGTACCCCCCAAATCCACTGCCGTTGAGTACATTCTGGCTCAAGCGACCCCATAGTAGAGAGTAGCCCTGCCTCATAGGGTTTCTAAGACTATAAATCTTTGCAGAAGTGAACTGACACATCTTTCTCCCACTGAGCAGCTGGTGGGTTTGAACCGCTGACCTTTGAGTTAGCAGCCACACTTGTTAACCACTGTACTACCAGGGCTTCTAACATTTAGGTACAGAGTGATTATGAACTCTTGATATGTTTACGTGCACCATTAATTTAAAATGTATATAAACTGAAGTACAGAATTGTCTTAATTCTTTTTTGTAGTTCCTATAGTTTTAGGAATTTAAATTTCTGGAATAATATTCAAGGCAGATTTAACTTGCATCAAATTCTATTTCACAACACACAGTGTTAAGTCTGGATATTTGGAAACAAACAGCAAACTGAAAATTTCAAGGTTTTTTTTTTCCTGAATATTTTATATGGTTACAGCTATGTCACTTTGACTTTTTTAAGGACTGTTTTGTTTTTGGTGGCAGTATACACAACCAAGCATACATCTGTTCACAATGTCTACCTAAATAGCCTGGTGACATTGCTCACATACTTCACCTTGTATCACCATTCTCACAATCTCTCCTTGCCTTCATTCTTCCTGTAGTGATGTAGGGAATGGTCATTTCTGAAATGTGAAAACGGAAAAACCAAGACCCAAGTAAACAATATATTTTCTATAGAATAATTCATTTTGTTCACAACTCTGTGGTTATGGGATGACTGTATCCTCCATTTGCCTCCATACAACCTAACTTTGGAATAACCAGTGCTCCAATAAAGCTTTGAAAAACTGAACAAACAACCACTCTGAGTTCTTGCTATAATGATCATAAAGTAAAATCATGTTTGCAAATTAGTATTCAGAATTTCAACTAATGGTAGGTGGAAATGATGGTGGTAAGAAGAGTCAAACAGGAAAACAGCAATTTACTGGTCTACAAAGGTGCCTTCACCTTCAGTAGATGGCAGGGTATATTTGCCAAATTATTTCACTTGCTAAATTGTTGAAAGTAGGAGAAAAATCCTTGTAGGAAGCCAGGAGTGGATTTGAGATGGAAAGAGCCTTCCCTATTCAGTTTCACTGTTCTTAGTTTTATCCTGATATTGCATTCTTTTCTAAATTAAGATTTTAGTGTTTAACTGCTATAATCCAGGATCTTAGAATGAAGAATGAGAAGTCCCTTCAGAGACCCTACCAAGAAGCAAGCTTTTCTTTGTCCTTATTATTCCCTTCCTCCTCCCAAGAGACATCTGGGGTGATTACAGAGGGGACCAGTGCAGACAGGTGCAGTCTGTCCTGTCTCAGGGGAGCTGAATGGTGACCAGGAGCCTGGCTTACTTCTGGAGGTAAACCATGCTGGGATCACCTTGAATCTGGTCTGATTTGGTTTGGAGTCTGAGTACCAGGTCTTCCCCAAAGTGAGCTGCGCTGAGTTTCTTTAAGGCTGTTCCAGGCTGGCGCACCACCTCTGACCACTCCACATTTCAGGCCCAGGTCCTGGGGCCTGCAATGTAAGGTGATATCTAGGGCCACCACAGTACATCAGGGCTTCTAGAACAAACAGGGGCCTGCAGGCAGTTGTGTCCATGAGACCTTGTTCCCATGATGCAGTTGTGTCCATGAGACCTTGTTCCCATGAAGGGTGAAGGAAGACACCCCTCTCTGCAACAGCAACTTGGCTGGGGCCTCTGAGAGCCAATTGGAAGCCAGAGTTGACTTTGAGAGACAAGGGTGGGTAGTTGACTTTGAAGGAAATGGTGTCTTGGAAACTGGGTTCTTAGGAGCAACTTCTCTGGGCCATGTTGCCTATGACTCCATGGGGCCGATTCCCCCCTTCCTTTGTCCCTCTTCCTCCATCCACCACCTGGTTATTGAGAGCCTGCTGAGCTTCAGGTGTCTGGCTAGTGGTGAACAGACATGGCCTGTCACAGAGCTCGTTTATCTACTGGGACTGCCAGTCAACAAGG